TTTGTTTTTCTTACTTATTGTCCTGACTACAGAAATTCATTATTTCTCTCATAAATCTTATAAACGCTCAAAACCAGTAATGAGCAAATATTTGTTTATTGATTGTCATGACTACAATTGAAATAATTTATTAATTATCGTAGATTCCATAGACATTTTGATATGCGTTTTGGAATATCAAATGTTTGACAGTTAACATAATGAAACATAACCTAAACTACTATAACAAATACAATTATTTCCATAACAAAATTAGTAATGATCAAATTAAAAATAAATGTCACAAAACAGAATTTTTCTAACCTAACCTAACCAAAGGTTTTGTTAGGTTATTAACCTAACCTAATCTAATTATTATTTATTTGTTGGTTATAAAAATCAAAGGTACAATATAACTAATCACTTAACCCAACTTAACCTAACAATGACGTAATATAACCTCTAATTTAAGGTAACCTAAGCAAGTGTGATCTAATATAAGTTGGCAGAACCAAAGATTTTGTTAGGTTAGGTTAGATTATGAAACTAACCTAATCTAATTATTTTATCTTCATTGATTATAAAAACAAAAGTATCATATAAATAATTACTGACTTAACTTAACCTAACCATGACATAAAGTCTAACTTAATCAATAAATTAACCTCTAATTTAATGTAACCTAAACAAGTCTGATCTATTACAAATTGGCACAACCAAAGATTTTGTTATTTTAGGTTAGATTATTAAACTAACCTAATTTAATTATTTTATCTTTATTGATTATAAAAACAAAAGTATCATATAAATAATTACTGACTTAACCTAACTTAACCTTGACATAACCACCAACTTAATCAATAAGTTAACCTCTAATTTAACCCAACCTCTAAGCAAGTCTGATCTAATTTAACGTATAAGTTTGATATTTCTTTAATTTACTTATTTATGACTTTGCTTTCAAACAAAACTATGTATTGTAATGTATATGTTTATTACATAAATGATGGATGCGTTTTGCATTTAGACCGTGGGTGTTCGGACGTTTTCCACGAAAATTAAAAAGAAATGTGTTTACATTGTAATAGTATTTGAATTTATTGTACAGTAGTTGATGGTGGCCATGCCAACTATGCGAAATCGACATACACAAAAAAAAGTGAAGAAAAACACACAAAAAAAAGAGAGAAGTGTAATCTATTTGCGGTCCGCATTTTCTCATGATGCATTTCTTTCGATCCAAATTACATTCGTCGTCGTAGTCGTAGTCGGTGGGCACCCAATTTACGTTCTTCTCCTCCGCCACTTTGCGGGATCTATTTTTTGACAAGCCGCGCGACATTATTCACCGCGGATAAATGATAAATTTAGATTGTTTTCGGCGCCCACGCGACCAAAAAACCGGTATAAACGCTCTCTCATCTGGAGGAGAGCCGAGAGGCCCAAAGAACGATTCGCGCGATGCACACGAACCGAACAAAATTAAACTATGACTACACGCCACTCCGCATACTCTCAATCCGCGCCCAATTTTCGCGTATTCCTTTTTTTGGTACATCGCAAAAAAAGTTACGAAAAATACTAATATATAATAGAAATATTTGATAAATTGACATGTTCAAGTTCAAAATGTTCATCATAATATTGTAGATGAGACCTAGAAGGTGTCCCAGTGGTACTCTTAGTAATTTGATACTAATAACTAACTTTTTCTATGTTTCAGTTGTTTTCTTGTAACAACAGACAAAAACAAATAAAAAAATGACAGCTGTCAAAAAGTGACAATTGGACTATTCACGTTGGAAATGTAACTTGAATCCTGTGGCATTCCAGATATTTATGACTGTAGTAATATGATACCAACAACTCTGAAGAAGTTTCCATAGAGATTCAAAGATGTTTTTCACAAAATAACAAAACGGCTTCAAAACAAAAGTACGGACTGTTGTCACCTGTCGTTGTGTTGTTGCGGTAATCGCCATTTAATTGGCGGACATTTTGCGAATTTACAGCGAAATTCCGTAAATTGTTATTGCCGTGGCAACGGACCAAGAGCAACATTTTCGCGGCAGGTGCGAAATTTTATTTATACTTATGGTACGTTTCTGGTCTCGTCCGATCCTAACGTCCAACAAACGTCCACAGAAAAAAAGATGAAGAAGAAGAAGAGAGAAAATAAAAATTTGGAAGATCTGAACGCGAAAATCGCAGAGGTCGTAAATATCAAAATAAATGAATTATTTAATTGTTGTTGTTGCTCGCATTCTACGCGAAATCTGATACGTCCATAAATCATTGGTTTGGAAACAGTTGATGCCAACTGTTCTTTAAGATTACAATTATATCTTAAGTTGGAACTATTTCATGAGAAACTAAAGCGTTCCCAGAATTTAACTAGTAAATCCTTTGTTTGGAAACAGTTGAAAATTGTTGATTTCAATTGTTCTCTGAGATTACTATGTTGCTTAGGTTGGTATTACTTAATGAGAAAGTAAAACGATTCCAGAATTAACCTATAAATCATTCGGTTGAAAACAATTGAAAATTGTTGATGCCAATTGTTCTCTGAGATAACTATGTTGTTTAAGTTGGTACTACTTAATGAGAAAGTAAAACGATTCCAGAATTAACCTATAAATCATTCGGTTGAAAACAATTGAAAATTTTCGATGCCAACTGTTCTCTAAGATTACAATTATATCTTAAGTTGGTACTATTTCATGAGAAAGTAAAGCGTTCCTAGAATTAGGCTAGTAAATCATTTGTTTTGAAACAGTTGAAAATTGTTGATGCCAATTGTTCTCTGAGATTACTATGTAGTTTAAGTTGGTACCATTTAATGAGAAAGTAAAACGATTCCAGAATTAACCTATAAATCATTCGGTTGGAAACAATTGAAAATTGTTGATGCCAACTGTTCTCTAATATTACAATTATATCTTAAGTTGATACTATTTAATGAGAAACTAAAGCGTTCCTAGAATTAAGCTAGTAAATCATTTGTTTGGAAACAGTTGAAAATTGTTGATGCCAATTGTTCTCTGAATTACTATGTTGTTTAAGTTGGTACTATTTAATGAGAAAGTAAAACGATTCCAGAATTAACCTATAAATCATTCGGTTAGAAACAATTGAAAATTGTTGATGCCAACTGTTCTTTAAGATTACAATTATATCTTAAGTTGGAACTATTTCATGAGAAACTAAAGCGTTCCTAAAATTAAGCTAGTAAATCATTTGTTTGGAAACAGTTGAAAATTGTTGATGCCAATTGTTCTCTGAGATAACTATGTTGTTTAAGTTGGTACTACTTAATGAGAAAGTAAAGCGATTCCAGAATTAACCTATAAATCATTCGGTTGAAAACAATTGAAAATTGTTGATGCCAACTGTTCTCTAAGATTACAATTGTATCTTAACTTGGTACTATTTAATGAGAAACTAAAGCGTTTCTAGAATTAAGCTAGTAAATCATTCGATTAGAAACAGTTGAAAATTGTTGATTTCAATTGTCCTCTGAGATTACTATGTTGTTTAAGTTGGTATTACTTAATGAAAAAGTAAAGCTATTCTAGAATTAACCTAAATATTCATAAATTTTAATAATTTCACCCTTAATTTTTAACTAATTAAGTTCTATTGAAAAGTATATATTAACATATAAATACCAATACTGAATTACAAAGAGCATATGTTTAAGATGTTGGAAAGCTCTGATCTAACTTAATCTTTCATAAGAAATATTTTCTCTAAAATAAATAAATAAATTTTAATAAGTAACTATAATAATTATAGCCAAAATAAGTGTAATTAATTATTAAACATCTAGAACTAAGTTTAATGAGAAATCAATAGGTTTCGCTCTCACAATGCAGATTTCTATACGCCCTTCGCTTATTTTTGGAGATCCCTGTTGCATACGTCTCCGATAGATGGCACTTGCATCTACATTCATCACTTAGACTTCCTTTAAGTATTTAAATATTTAGTTATACATTATGTAAATGAAGAACGAATAATATAATTAATACATAATTTGCAGATTTTAATTATTTAAATCCAATTAGACTCAATTATCTTAAATTGAGTATCAAAATATGATTGTTAAGTAGCGTGATTGTAAACGTAAATGTTTGTCAGCTGTACCAACTTCAATATTGTCAGTTTTTTTTTTATATAACCTAATAATAACAGTTGGCACTTTTGACATATATTTAATTGACGTATCACGAATGCAATTTAATTTAGCACTTGTTTTTGTTAACTATTACATCCATAGCTTACTAAAAACATAAAACAAATAGTTATTAATTAAGTAAATTTTGATGAATTTCATTACAATTCTTAAATACTTGATCATTTAAATATAAAAAAAATTTGGAATTTTTTATTTAGTCTATTTACAACATAATTTAATGAAAATGTAATTAATTGTAATTTGAAAATGAATTCTTGTATATGAATTTCGTAATAAGTTTATTTAGAAAACTGCGTGAAATGAAACATTTGTATATGAATTGGTGGTGTTCAAAGTCCTTTGGATATTTTGCAAATAAATGCAACGAGGCCATGAGCTAATTTCGTCGTATCACCATGGCAACAGAGATCAAAAGAATCCAATGCATTGGACTGTCAAAGTGACAGGTGTGACGTTACGTGCACGTAAGTTTGTTGTGCGAATTCGGTCCAATTAAGATGTGCACGAAGGCGCCAATTTCTTCTTTTTGTTGTTGTCACAGATAAAACACAGAAATAGAGGAATTCGGCGTGGGCGAGGATTTCGCAATTGCGCGTTTTTCGCAAGTTCTAAAATAGGAACACCTGTTCCTGTTGCCGTAATCTGGTTCAAGGAGAACTAGATGATGAAGGAGAGTTTAGGATGAAGGGTTTTTTGAAGAAAGATTTGTCGTGTTTTGTTTTTAATAATATAAATATATATATATACGTTTATTTACTCATCTTTCTTTCAGTTCAAATAGATAAAAATAAAGGTGCATAAAAAATAGATTGTTGTTGTTTTGTTTTTTTTTGTGTTTTGTTATGTGTGTGTATGTTTTAATTTTTTTAGTTTTTTAATTTTTGTTAAGTTGGATTTACTTTCCCATGAGGATTTTGCGGGAAGCTCCCATGTTTTGACCGGCTTGGGTGGCGCCCTTGTTGGATCCGGCTTGAAGACCGATCATGGTCTGTCCGGCCTTCAACTGTTCCTCGGTGAAGTCGCGTTTGTTCTCGTCGGATGGTTTCGGTCCCAAGTAGGGTCCCTTCCATTCGGCGTGCTTGTACGTCTGCCTGCCCAGGGCGAAGATGGTGTTGGTCACCTGAGCGATGTCCTTCTTCTCCCACAGATCGACGGTCTGGAAAACATCCACGTCGTTGCAGCCGTACGCTTTAAGAGCGGCCTGGAAGCTGCGAAACAATTAGATCTTTAGATATTCGACGACGAAGATTTAGTTAAACTTACTTGTTGATGTTCTCCATCATCTTGAATTGTCCACCGGAGGTGTTGATCTTGGCGACGGAGCCGGGGGCGAGCTTGTTCATCAGCTGGCAGAGGACGGTGCCGTCACGGATGACATCTTCGTAGGCTTCACCTGGTGGGAACTTGGCTCCAAGGATGGTCTCGATCCATTCTTGGGCTTCCTTGTCCTGGGTTAAATCGCGTTTGGAGGCCAACTAATATTTCCCAAAAAAACAAACCAATCAAACAAAGAACTACAACGAGAAATTGATCTTTACCTTGGCACGGACTTGACGTTCGAGAGACATGTTTATTCCTTGAGTTTTGAGTGTATAGTATTGAACACTGCACCAATTGAACTGAAAAACTGATCCTCTTCAGCCGCCGCGACGCTTTTATACGCCCGTCCGCTTTGCATAAACATTTACACAACAACAAAAAAAACATCCTCCTCCCACTCCACCGCCAACATCCGTTCACCGTCGCGACGCCCGCCGCTCCTTTTCGCGAACTTAAAAACTAATTTTAGTAAATTATTCGAATTTCGCGTTTCTTCTAGAATCATACGCGCTCGCACACCAAAACACACGTCTCTCGTTCCAATTACGCAATCTTCTTTCTTCAGCTTTATTAATGGCCCGCAGAATGCACGCTATCTTCATTTGTTTCAATTTCATTCGTCTTTTTTTTCTTTTTTTTTTTCAGTCTGTCGTCGCGTTGCGACCTTCGACGCCAACGTTTTATTTTAGAGGGACGCAACCTTCGATCGCTTCGCCGAAAAAAAAAATCTCACGGGATTCTTCAACACAAAAACCATGGTAACGCATTTTCAGAATAAACAACCATAGCAAATATGATTTTACCGTAATAAATGCCAATTTTCAAGAGAGAAAAAAACAACAAATATTAACAAGATTAAAAAAAAAACAGAAAATTTGAACTATTACATTTAAAGATTTCAGCATAAAATTAACATCGAACGAAATTTCAGAATAAACAATCATGGAAAATATGATTTTATCGTAATAAAAGCCAAGTTTCAGGAGAGAAAAAAATCAACAAATTTTAACAATATTTCAAAAAAATAACCAGGAAATTTGAACCATTACATAGAAAGATTTCAGCACAAAATGAACGTCGAACATGATTTCAGCACAAATAAATCATAGTAACGAAATTTCAGAATAAACAACCATAGCAAATATGATTTTACTGTAATAAATACCAATTTTCAAGAGATAAAAGAAAAAAGAAATTTAACATTACCACAAATGCAAGATTTCAACAAACAAACAGGAAATTTGAACTATTAGAAAGATTTCAGCACAAAATGAACATTGAATGAAATTTACGAAATTTCAGAATAAACAATCATGGAAAATATGATTTTAGCGTAATAAATGCCAATTTTCAAGAGTGAGAAAAAAAAACAACAAATATTAACAAGATTAAAAAAAAAAACAGGAAATTAAAACTATTACATTTAATGATTTCATCACAAAATGAACGTCGAACATGACTTCAGCACAAAAACCATAGTAACGAAATTTCAGAATAAACAACCACAGCAAATATGATTTTACTGTAATAAATAAAAATTTTCAAGAGATAAAAGAGAAAAGAAATTTTAACATTACCACAAATGCAAGAGTTCAACAAAAACAAACAGGAAATTTGAACTATTAGAAAGATTTCAGCACAAAATGAACATCGAACGAAATTTACGAAATTTCAGAATAAACAATCATGGAAAATATGATTTTAACGTAATAACTGCCAATTTTCAAGAGAGAAAAAAACAACAAATATTAATAAGATTTAAAAAAAAAAACAGAAAATTTGAACTATTACTTTTAAAGATTTCAGCACAAAATGAACGTCGAATATGATTTCAGCACAAAAACCATAGTAACCAAATTTTATAATAAAAACAAAAACGAAATTTGAACTATTACATAGAAAGATTTCAAAACAAAATGAACATCGAACATGATTTCAGCACAAAAAATAGTAACAAAATTTCAGAATAAACAACCATAGCAAATATGATTTTACTGTAATAAATACCAATTTTCAAGAGATAAAAGAAAAAAGAAATTTAACATTACCACAAATGCAAGATTTCAACAAAAACAAACAGGAAATTTGAACTATTACATAGAAAGATTTCAGCACAAAATAAACATCGAATGAAATTTACGAAATTTCAGAATAAACAATCATGGAAAATATGATTTTAGCGTAATAAATGACAATTTTCAAGAGTGAGAAAAAAAAACAACAAATATTAACAAGATTAAAAAAAAACAGGAAATTTGAACTATTACATTTAAAGATTTCAGCACAAAATGAACGTCGAACATGATTTCAGCACAAAAAAAACATAGTAACGAAATTTCAGAATAAACAATCATGGCAAATATGATTTTTATCGTAATAAAAGCAAAGTTTCAGGAGAGAGAGAAAAAAAAACAACAAATTTTAACAATACCACAAATTCAAGATTTCAAAAAAAAAACAAACAGGAAATTTGAACTATTACTTAAAAAGATTTCAGCACAAAATGAATGTCGAACATGATTTCAGCACAAAAACCATAGTTACCAAATTTTATAATAAAAACAAATAGAAAATTTGAACTATTACTTAGAAAGATTTCAGAACAAAATGATCATCGATCATGATTTCAGCACAAATAAATCATAGTAACGAAATTTCAGAATAAACAACCATAGCAAATATGATTTTGCTGTAATAAATACCAATTTTCAAGAGATAAAAGAAAAAAAAAATTTAACATTACCACAAATGCAAGATTTCAACAAAAACAAACAGGAAATTTGAACTATTAGAAAGATTTCAGCACAAAATGAACATCGAACGAAATTTACGAAATTTCAGAATAAACAATCACGGAAAATATGATTTTAGCGTAATAAATGCCAATTTCCAAGAGAGAAAAAAAAAACAACAAATATTAACAAGATTTAAAAAAAAAAACAGGAAATTTGAACTATTACATAGAAAGATTTCAGCACAAAATGAACATCGAACATGATTTCAGCACAAAAAATAGTAACAAAATTTCAGAATAAACAACCATAGCAAATATGATTTTACTGTAGTAAATACCAATTTTCAAGAGATAAAAGAAAAAATAAATTTTAACATTACCACAAATGCAAGATTTCAACAAAAACAAACAGGAAATTTGAACTATTAGAAAGATTTCAGCAAAAAATAAATATCGAACGAAATTTACGAAATTTCAGAATAAACAAACATGGAAAATATGATTTTACTGTAATAAATACCAATTTTCAAGAGATAAAAGAAAAAAGAAATTTAACATTACCACAAATGCAAGATTTCAACAAACAAACAGGAAATTTGAACTATTAGAAAGATTTCAGTACAAAATGAACATTGAATGAAATTTACGAAATTTCAGAATAAACAATCATGGAAAATATGATTTTAGCGTAATAAATGCCAATTCAAGAGTGAGAAAAAAAAACAACAAATATTAACAAGATTTCAAAAAAAACAGAAAATTTGAACTATTACATTTAAAGATTTCAGCACAAAATGAACGTCGAACATTATTTCAGCACAAAAACCATAGTAACGAAATTTCAGAATAAACAACCATGGCAAATATGATTTTAGCCTAACAAAAGCCAAGTTTCAAGAGAGAAAAAAAACAACAAATTTTAACAAGATTTCAAAAAAAAAACAGGAAATTTGAACTATTACATAGAAATATTTCAGGACAAGAAAACCATAGTAACGAAATTTCAGAATAAAAACAAAAATAAACAATTACAAGATTTCAGAAAAAGAACAAAACAAAAACGAAATTTGAACTATTACATAGGAAGATTTAAGCACAAAGAAATATATCGGAATTACAACTTTGCAGAGAAATTTCAAACATTCAGGACAAAACTAAAAGAAACCTAAAATCGTATCGAGTATATTTCAGAATAAAACTAAAGGAAAAACGAATTTTACAAAAATGAAAACTTGAAATCGAGATTTCATAAAATAATAATGCTATAGTTTTAGCAAAGAGATTTCACAAGTATGAAAAAAAAATCAAATGAAATTTTATAAAATAACATCATAGAAACATATGGATACAGACAATAATAACGTTCAATTGTTTGTGTATGAAATTGCGCAGGTTTAGATAACCGTAACTCGATTCAACTCGATTAATTATTTATCGATTAGAGGAGATTAATCAACTAATTAGAGCGATCAAATAATTTCACTCGCAATTATTTAGCAATATCAAACAGATATTACAAAAAAAAAATATGTAATCAATTATGATAAATATGAGAGATACATTTGTTGTTTTGTTACGTAATCTGTTTATTTATTTAAGTATAGAATTATACAATTTATATATTAAGATTAAGTTTGTTATTCCAATTGTTAAGTATGACTCGTTTATATAGATTACGATAAATGTAGATAATTTAGTGATTATAAAGCGATGTATAATTGACTTGTGATTATTTTTCAATGGAAAAAAATAAAAATTTAATCAATAATGCTGAAATTCAATGATAAACTCGTTGTTTGTAATGTGATTTGTTCGATTAATAAACAAATAATTTCTCAAGTAACTTGATTATTTAGCTTTAATTTGATTGCTTACTATTGCTTATGCTGCCTTTTCGAAGCTGAAGAAACGTTTCTTCAAGTTTGACAGTGAATTATGACTAAATGACAAATTATAGAACTATATCAGTATGCACGTTTTAAACAGTGAATATTTAGCTTTAATTTGGTTGCTCAATAATGAATATGTAATGTATACTTTTTGAGATATAATCAAAAACGTAAAGACACAAAGTTTAAAAGCGTGCCCTGAAGTTTGACAGCGAATTACGAATAAAATACAAATGATACAATAATACCAATATATATATTTTAAAGAGTAAATATTTAGCTTTAATTTGGTTGCTCAATAATGAATATGTAGTGTATACTTTTTGACTTAACAAAAAAATTGTGAAGACATTGCTTTTTCTAAACTTAAAAAACGTGTCCTCAAGTTTGACAGCAAATGACGGATAAAATACGAAAGATACAATAATACCAAAATCTATATTTTATAGAGTAAATATTTAGCTTTAATTTGGTTGATCAATAATGAATATGTGGTGTATACTTATTGAGTTAACAAAAAAAAGTGAAGACACTGCTTTTTCGAAACTTAAAAAACGTGTCCTCATGTTTGACAGCGAATTACGGATAAAATACAAAGGATACAATAACACCAATATCTATTATTAAAGAGTAAATATTTAGCTTTAATTTAGTTGCTCAATAATGAATATGTAGTGTATACATTTTGAGTTAACAAAAAAAATGTGAAGACTCTGCTTTTTCGAAACTTAAAAAACGTGTCCTCAACTTTGACTGCGAATTACGGATAAAATACAAAGGATACAATAATACAAATATCTATATATTAAAGAGTAAATATTTAACTTTAATTTGGTTGTTCAATAATGAATATATAGTGTATACTTTTTGAGTTAACAAAAAATATGTGAAGACACTGCTTTTTTGAAACTTAAAAAACGTGTCTTGAAGTTTGTCAGCGAATGACGGATAAAATACAAACAATACAATAATACCAATATCTATATATTAAAGAGTAAATATTTAGCTTTAATTTGGTTGATCAATAATGAATATGTACTGTATACTTTTTGAGTTAACTAAAAAAAGTGAAGACACTGCTTTTTTGAAACTTAAAAAACGTGTGCTCAAGTTTGACAGCGAATGACGGATAAAATACGAAAGATACAATAACACCAATATCTATATTTTATAGAGTAAATATTTAGCTTTAAGTTGGTTGCTTAACGATGAATTTGTCTCTCATATTTTTCGAGATATAAGCAAAAATGTAAAGAATCAAAATTGTTTGGAAAGTGTAAAAATAAACTTAAATAAATTGAATTTACGGGAACGAATTTGTTTTACGCGCTGTGCAAGTAGGAATGTTGGCAACGCTCAAATAAGTAGTGATTAAGTGAATAAGTGATGACACCATCCAAAGCACATTCATAATTGTTTGCCAATTTGTAAATATTATCGTTAACAATATTATCGTTAAAATTTCAATAAATATCGATGATTTATAATTTTGACAGTAATTGCATATTGCGTTTGGAAAAGGTTAAGCAATGATTTTAAAGGAAATTGAATGGATGGGTTTTGTAGCAGCAACAATTTCCCAACAGCTAAAGGCAATTCAGTTTTTTAAGATTTATTAAGATTCAATTTCGAATTACTTTTGTATGCGAGGGCCTTTCCATTCCGGATGGAAATTAATCTGCAATTATCAAAGTAATGAAACGAATATGATTTTTTTTTTTATGTATTTCATTGAAATACCTGTTTGTCGAGTGCAAAAATGGTTTCTGTTACTTTAACTAAATCGTTATCATCGACAAGATCCGAAGCTTCGAAGATGTCGTCGTCTGCGACTCCGTAAATCCTCAGCACTGCGCGAAAACTGCAATATCACTGATTTCAATTTCTTTGTTGTTGTATCATCCTTTCTTTACTTTTCGATGTTTTCCAGCATCTTGTATTCTCCTCCGTAAGGATTGATGATGGGAACGGAACCTGGCGCTAATCTATCCATCAGTTGGCACAAAACGATTCCGTCTCTTAAGACGTCTTCGTAGAGTTCACCAGGTGGAAACGCGTCAGGGCCTAAGATTCGCACTATCCAATCTTGCGCTTGCTTCTCCTTCTGCGCGTCTCTCTAAGTACCCAAAGTTTCGATTCCATCAGAGAATTGTGCAGCAAAACAGACAGAGACTGAATTGAAAGGAGAATGGGTTCTTTTTTGAACTCACCTGCATAGTTTCAACGCTGTTGTTGTTTTGATTAGCTATTAACGACTATTGCCAATGGTTCATTTATAGACACTAAATCGATGCAATCAAACTGACTTACGTGCACTGATCACATGATTCATCAACTATTAATCGCACGCTTCCTTTGTCCATGCAAATACAATGGATCAAATCTACAAATTCAAAAACTACATGTTTTATATTGTCTCAATGAAGATTTTTAATACAAAATTTAAACGATTTTTTCTTCAAAACTAAATACAACTCGCACTGTTTGAAACCGGACTAATCGAGGCACTAAATCAAGTCGTATAAATAAAAATTTGACTATATAATGGAAAAAAATATAAATATAAATATAAATTTGTGTATAAGAAAAAAATAATTTTAAATGTAGTTAGTTGATTTTTTTGAATAGAACCATAATAAATCCGGACTGATTGAAGCAGCACTATGCGAGGTGTTGCTGTATACTAATTGTAGCTCAAAATAAGTAAAATATTTTGGGTATTTAAGTATTTTTATGAAACTTTGGAGATCTAAGAAATTAAGATATTTTAACGATCGAAAAAAAATAATTTTGAAGTTTGACAGCGAATGACGGATAAAATACAAATGATACAATAATACCAATATCTATATTTTAAAGAGTAAATATTTAGCTTTAATTTGGTTGCTCAATAATGAATATGTAGTGTATACTTTTTGAGTTAACAAAGAAAAAGTGAAGACACTCCTTTTTCAAAACTTAAAAAACGTGTCTTCAAGTTTGACAGCGAATTACGGATAAAATAAAAACGATAGAATAACACCAATATCTATATTCTAAAAAGTAAATATATAGCTTTAATTTGGTTGCTTAACGATGAATTTGTCTCTCAAATTTTTCGAGATATAAGCAAAAATGTCTTTAAATGTAAGTTTAATTTCTCAATGAAGATTTTGAGAAATTCAAGAAATTTTGAATACAAGATTTTTTCTTCAAAACTAAATACAACTCGAACTGTTTGAAACCGGACTAATCGAGGCACTAAATCAAGTCGTACAAATAAAGATTTGATTATATAATGGAAAAAAACGTCGACAATTTTTGTATAAGAAAAAAATAATTTTTAAATGTAGTTAGTTGAAATTTTTGAATAGAACTATAATAAATCCGGACTGATTGAAGCCGCACTATATGAGGCATTGCTGTATACTAATTGTAGCTCAAAATAAGCAAAATATTTTGGGTATTTAAGCATCATTATGAAACTTTGGAGATCTAAGAGATTAAGATATCTTAACAATCGAAAAAAAATAATTTTGAAGTTTGACAGCGAATGACGGATAAAATACAAACGATACAGTAATACCAATATCTATATTTTAAAGAGTAAATATTTAGCTTTAATTTGGTTGCTCAATAAGAATATGTAGTGTATACTTTTGAGTTAACAAAAAAAAGTGAAGACTCTCTTTTTCAAAACTTAAAAAACGTGTCTTCAAGTTTGACAGCGAATTACGGATAAAATAAAAACGATAGAATAACACCAATATCTATATTTTAAAAAGTAAATATATAGCTTTAATTTGGTTGCTTAACGATGAATTTGTCTCTCATATTTTTCGAGATATAAGCAAAAATGTCTTTAAATGTAAGTTTAATTTCTCAATGAAGATTTTGAGAAATTCAAGAAATTTTGAATACAAGATTTTTTCTTCAAAACTAAATACAACTCGAACTGTTTGAAACCGGACTAATCGAGGCACTAAATCAAGTCGTACAAATAAAGATTTGACTATATAATGAAAAAAAAAACGTCGATAATTTGTGTATAAGAAAAAAATAATTTTTAAATGTAGTTAGTTGAAAATTTTATATGAACTATATAAATCCGGACTGATTGAAGCCGCACTATGCGAGGCATTGCTGTATACTAATTGTAGCTCAAAATAAGTCAAAATATTTTGGGTATTTAAGCATCATTATGAAACTTTGGAGATCTAAGAAATTAAGATATTTTAACGATCGAAAAAAAATAATTTTTCTTTAAAAAAAAACTATAAAAATTAGAATCTACACTACATTTACTCATTATAGCTGAAGTATATATAGAATATTAATAGTCTAATTAAAGCTGAAAGTATATAGAATGTGTTGAGTATTTGAGCATTTTTACGAAACTTACTTATTTTGAGTAATTTTAGTCAATAAAATTTTATGTTTTGGAAAAAAAAAATCAAAAATGATTATATATAAAAACTAAACTTGCACAAAGCTTTATTAAAACACTTACACATTTTACGTTACTTAATTTCTAGTTACACAATTCGCATTTTTTTCTTTTAAAACATTTTTAAATAAATTTACATATAGACAATAAAACTGTTAGTGTTTCCTGCGAACTGTTGGACTCAACAGCTCCAACTCCATCTTCCTTCCATAATAATACTGACGACTGTACTTCTCCATGAATTTCAACGCGTCCGGACAACTCTTGAACAACACGATTGCAACACGACCCGAATCCGACGTTCCTTCATCCACCATCACCACAGACTCCACAAGACCGAACTCTTCACAGGTCCATCTCAAACGTTCTTTGTTCACGCTAATGTGCAAGTTCTTCACTTCGACGGCGCCGATCATCCAACGACACTCCATCAATTCACTTCTACTGAACTCGCTGTATTCGATATTGTCCATCGGTCCATAATCAAAATCCATTGTAAAAAA